GGTGTTGAGAATCGAACCCAGTGCCTCACACATGCTGGGCAAATGCTTTACCACTGAGCCCCAACCCCAGCCCTGTTTGGGTTATTTTTAAAGTAATCATTAATAAATTTTAAAAGACAAGTCTCAGATCAGGAGGAAATACTGGTAATGCACATAATCAAAAAAGCATTCAGAATGTGTAAAACAATTCTAACACACATTTTTTAAAAAGACAATACATAGGGAAAATGGGTAAAAGATTTGAACTGGCAATTAATGGAAAAAGATTCAAGAATCATTCAAGATTCAATAAATATTCGAAATGATATTCAGCCTCACTAATAGAGAAACAGAAGAATAAACAATGAGATACGGCTGCAAAACAAAATCTTGACAATACTAAATATTGATCAGGAAGCAGAAAAACAGGAACTCAAATAACACATTCTACAGGATACTAAAATCTAGTGAAGTTGAAGATTACACTATGACTCTGTAATGCTACTCCTAGCTATGTACTGTAAATGTAAGAGTTAACAAATTTTCTTTTTGGGAGGCGGGGTTACAGGGGATTGAACTCAGGGGTACTTGACCACTGAGCCACATCCCCAGCCCTATTTTGTATTTTATTTAGAAATGGGGTCTCACTGAGTTGCTTAGCGATTCACCATTTCTGAAGCTGGCTTTGAACTCACAATTCTCTAGCCTCAGAATCCCCAGCCACTTGGACTGATTACAGGCAAGCGTCACCATGCCCCGCTCAACAAACTTTTTCTTAAAGGGTCAGGTAGTGAACATTTTAGACTTGGATGCCATGAAGTCTCTTTTTGACAACTACTCAATTCTGCTACTGTAGGTAGTCATTGTCTGCAATACACAAATGGGCATGGCTGTTCTGTTAAAATTTTCTTAACAAAACCAGGTGCAATTGCCAGTGAGCCACAGTTTGCCAGTTTCTGCACTAGAGAAATATCTCATATCTGTGCACCAATGGGCATGTACAAGAATATCCATCATAGCTTTGTTTATAACTTCAAAGAACTTCCAGCAATCTAACAGTTCATCAGAGAATGAATACATTGGTAGTAGGGTTATAAAATATAATACAATTGGATATTGCTTAAAAATGGGGACATGTTCTTAGAAACATGTTATCAGGCAATTCCATTGTTGTGAGAACATTGTAGAGTACATGTATACAAATGCAGATTATATAGGTCACTTACTTGATAGGGCTTCCTGATGTAATCTTAAGATGACTGAGGCTGTGCCTGGCATAATGTATCATAGTGTTTTACAATAAACTGATACTGAATCTAGGGCCTTGTGCATGCTAAGCTTGTACTCTGCCACTAAGTTATGCCCCCAGCCCCTAAGCTTTTATTTATTTATTTATTTTTGTTAAAGAAGTAGGAGTGTACTCTAAAATATAAAAAGTATATTACATATGTAAACTAGTAATTAGCTGTTTATTGCATTTATTGTGCATAACTACATGTGGTACTTTTATACAACTAGCCGTTTAATGGGTTTGTTTACACCAGCATTATCACAAATACAGTAAGAAACGTGATTCACTACAACAGCTACTGTAGTAAATTAATATTCAAGTCTCCGAATCTATGGGCTCCCTGCTTCCGTATTTCTTCCCTTCAGAGTCTACTCTCCCCTTCTCCTTGCAATGTGTTAAAGAAACAAGGTAATATTCTGGAGAGTTTTCTATATTCTGAATTTTCCTGATTGTATTTTTATAGTCTGTTTCTTGTATTTCCTGTAACTAATGGTTGAATCTAAATGTTTGAGTACATTTAGATTTGATTTAGAAAAATTAGAAATAATATTTCTGGGTAAGTATTGTGTTCCTCTCAGAAGAGGCAGGATTCTGGTTGTCTCTTTTTGTCAAATTAGCAGTCATTGCTGGGCATAGAGACACAAGCCTGTAATCCCAGCGGCCCTGTAGGCTGAGGCAAGAGGATTGTAAGTTCAAGACCAGCCTCAGCAAATTAGTGAGACCCTGAGCAACTTAGTGAGTCCCTGTCTCAAAGTAAAAAATAAAAAGGGCTGAGGATGTGGCTCAGTGGTAAAGTACCCCCGGGCTCAATCTCCAGTACCAAAAACAAAAACAAAAATAAAAACAAATTAGCAGCCACTGATAATTCTTTAAATCCATCATTTCGTTAGGAGTTGCAAAATGTTGGTATATAGACTTCCTTTGTCATTTGCTATCCCAATTTTTCTTTGAGGGGGATATTTCCCACTTTGAGGTAACCAAATGTCTGCCCTTTAGGTACCCAGAAGTTCATTTCATACCACTAATATTATAGCTAAAAACTTCTTTTTAGAATTCAAGTCATACAGTCATTTAGAAAGAGTTATTTCTGTTTCTTCAAAATCAAAAGAAATTAAATCACTGGCTCTTTTTTCTTTTTTTGATTATTAGGAACTACTTACTTTCAATGATAATTTCTTTAGAAAGTTGGCGTGGCAAATAAAGTTCTTATATAAAATTTCTTAGGAGGTGTTTTCAAGGCTGAGATTTTATATGTATGCAGTTTATCTAAATATTTTTTAATAAAAATGTCAAGAATTTAACCATTCTGATAATAAAGAGACATTAAGTGTTGGGTTATCTCAAGGCCCAATCCGAAACCAGCTATTCCATACCAGTACTGTTCAACAGAAATACATGCAATCATAAATGTGAGATTGGTCATTTACAATGTTCTAGTAGCCCTATGAAATGAGTTAAAACTACCCAAAGTTTTAACAGTATACTGAGAACAACATAACTAAAATATAATTTCAACATATAATCAACATAAAATATTAATGACACTTATAATCTTTTCTCACACTGTCTTTTAGATTGTAGCACATCTCAATTCAGACCAGATACATTCCTTGTGCTCAATGACCACATGTAGCTAATGGCCATGATCCTAGACAACAAAGCTCTACATTCTCCCTTGATAATTGAATATCTAAACGAGACTGCTTATCTGTGCATATGATACACAGAAAAACCTCTACTGACGTGATCACTCTTATAATCCAACTGTCTAGGTGCCTCAAACTCAACATTTTCATAGCTGAGTCCATCTTCCTAAAACTGGTTCCCTCAGTGTCTCCTTAGTATATGATAACATACATGGAAAAATCTAGGAGCTATTTTTGTCTTACTCTCCCCTTCATCTGCTGTATAAAATCCTTTACAAACTCCTATTAATTTGACTTTCAAAAATTATAATGAATTCCTTTCTTCCCTTTACTACTACCTCACTGTCCTATGATAACAACACATCATTCCTGGAACTGTTTTGATAACCTCGTAATGGTCCTTCTGCATCTACTATAAGTCCTCTGACCATTGGCCACACTGGAGCTTAGTGAATATTTTTCAAACTGTAAATCTGATACTGCAACCACTGCTTTACGTACTTTACTAGTTTCTAAATGCTTTATAAATAAAGATCAAAACATTAACATGGCCCAAAATGTCTGAAATTTCTGACCTTTACTTGCTTTTCTAGCCTCATCGTACACCATGTACTCTCTTATATTCTACCTGCAAGCTACATTGGTCAGGACAGCAAGCAAGTCATTACTGTCCCTTCCATCAGAGGGCCCTTACACATGTTATTTCCATGGTTCAACCATTTGCAAAATGCTGTTCATCTCACCATTTCTAGTCAATTCTCATTCACTTTTTGTGTTTTGGCTTAAATATTACCCATGAAAGAACCCTATTCTTAACTGAATGTCAGAATTGACAATCATAGATTCATGGTTAAAACAATAGGATCAGCTTTGGAAATAATAGAAATTCTTCCTTTTTTGGAGCGGGGCGGTACTGGGGATTAAACCCAGAGCCTCACATATGCTAGGCAAGTGCTGTATCATTGAGCAAAACCTCCAGTCTTCCCCTTTATAAGATTTTGTTTGCAACACAGGGTCTTAAGTTGCCTAGGCTAGCCATGAACTTGCGAGCCTTCTGCCTTAGCTTCCTGAATAGCTGGGATTACAGGTGTGGACCAAGATGCTCAACTCTGTTGATTTTTTGAGTGAGTAGTAAAGGACTCAAGAGACTTCTGAAATTTACACATTCTGTTTCTTTGCAAACAGACACCTGATAGATCTGGAACCTCTGCGTACGGCATATTGGCCAGGTAGAGAAATAGTGAGAGAAATCTCATTCCAACAGTAGTTTGTTTTGAGATGAGAGAACAGAGATCTCAAGGGCGTTCCTATAAAGTTTACAGAGTTTGCTATATATTAGACTCTGTGCTAAGTACTGTGGGGAACAAAAAGTCTAAAACATGATTCCTGCTTCAAGGAACTACCAAGTTAGGCAACAAAGTAACACATACAAAAGAATAAAGACAAAAGCAGTACATAAAAAATTTAGATGAATGGTACTACAAAAAATGCTAACAGGGGTTGGAGTTGAAGTTCAATGGTAGAGCAACTGCCTAGCATGCATAAGGCCCTGGGTTTGATACCCAGAATGGAGGAAAAAAAAAAAGAAAAAAGAAATAACAGGGTTCAGAAAAGGAAAAACTTGAGTCAACATAATCAGAAAGGAAATCTCCATCTTTAAGAGTTAGGTTTATTCTAGGGCTGTGTACATCATTTTGAGGTAAGTTGGGAAGATTGATGCAATGTTAATGATGACCCTGTGATCTATCTCCCAAAAGCCTTTCAAAACTAGGTCTGAATGGTGTTATGATTTGGATCTGGAAGGTTCCCTAAAGGATCATGTGTTGAAGGCTTGGGAAATGATTGGATCATGGGGGGTTCTAACCACATCAGTGCATTAATCTGCTGATAAATTTATAATTTGGAGGCAATATTGAGAGTGGCTACAGTAAATGTAGGAGGCGGAAGAAGTGGGTTATTTGGGGACAGGCCCTGAAAGGATATATCTTATTCTTGCCCCATCTCTTGTTCTCTCTCTGCTTCCCTGCCACCATGAGGTGAGTGGCTTTGTTCTATCATGCTCTTTCACCAGGACATGGCCTTACCACAAGCCGATGGTGATGGTGTCAAGTGACTGTGGACTGAAACCTCTGAAACAGAGAGCAAAAAAAAAAAAAAAAAAAAAAAAATCAAAAAACTTTCCTTCTTTGTTTTTCCCAATTATTTTGTCATAGTGACGGAAGCTAACACAAAGAGGTAAATTAAATGTACAGACAGATCCCATGAACTGTCTTCTGAGTAGAATACCTCTACCTCTCAGTAATGTTTTCTGACCAATGTACATAGAGAAAAATTTCCATTTATTTCTCCTAAATTCACAGGAAAAGTCGCAATTTACCTTCCAGATATCATTGCTGAATGTTTTAAAAACCAAACAGAGTACCAACAACATGCTTAATGTCATAAAGAGATTGTTACAAATATGATATCAGGAGTACAAAGTTCCATTTTGGAATTTTTTTGTTTTTACCCTAAAATACTAACTACCTCTTCTCCTGATTATTTATCAAAGCCTTCTTGTTCAGAAATCTACAGTTGTATTATTAGCTCCTCAGGGGTTTCACAGTTTGCCTAAAATTGTTCTCTCTCTCAATCAAAGCTTGTACATATCATAATTTCTTGATAACCAAGCAGCATGTCAGACAGAATTTTCTTAAATATGGCAATGAAACTTTACAAATCAAGCATTATATTTGGAAAAGTCATTCTGTTTGGCTTAGTGAACTATAGAAATGAAGTAGGTTAACTCTTTGTTCAAAATGGGAATGAAGCTTTTTACCATATTGTTCTGGGAAGTACAGTTTCTACACTTTTCTCCTTAAGTCTGACCTTAAAGAAGTATGATAAAATTTTGAGGAAAAGGTAGGATTTCAACATGCAGGATTTGGAGAAGAGAAAAGAAAGAGAAATCCAGATACTCCAAGAAGAGAGACTGATTTGAGGATAAATAAAGAGTAAATGAAGGGGAGAAGATGGAATCACTCAGTTTGGATCATGGTAATGAGTGCTACGGACAGATTAATGAGGAGCTTCAATTCTAGGCTGAACAGACTATGCTTTATTTGTTGGGCGGATGGGCAATAGGCAGGAAGGTCTCTGAACAAAGAAAAGAATGATATGACCTCTATTTTAGGAAGATTAGTCCAATAGGAATGTGGAAGAAACAAACAAACAAACAAACAAAAAAGAGTCAGGTGACAAAGTAACATTCCTGGTAAGAACTAAAGGGTTTCCATTATGGTGAGAGCATGGGGGAGTACAAAAAAGTAAGATATTACCCAAAATAGAATCAACAGGATTTTTTTCAAAGAAACATACACAAGATGTGGATAAAATCATTTTAGCCAAAACAATTTTAAGTAAGAAACTGGTATGTAAAAATATGGCTAGCAAAAACTGAATGTTTAGGGTGATCAGGTTGGGGATATAGGGATGGAGAACTTTGTTTCAGGAATTTGCACAATGTCTCCTCACTGATCCTGCAAGTAAACATTTTAGTTCTGTAAGATAGTTGTATGATTCAAACTGGACTCTCTAACCTACTTTTTTTTTTTTTTAAACTGATGGCATGAAAGAGGAGAATGTAACAGGGTTCAGTCTCATACAGTATAAAATAAGTCATGTGATTCTTATTCCTGCCTGCTGTAAGACTCCTGTCTCAAGAGTATTATTTAGGGAAGACATTCATAATTGCTAAATGGATAGCTGCAGTTCTTTACCAGGAGGAAGAACATCTGTTTTCTTTCTTGATGGGATACAGGTTTCCTAGGCTACCAAATTTATCTTCTACTCTACACTGCCCGCCACCACCCCCACATACATATAAAATTCAGAAACACAATCTCAATTGCAGGAATATACAGATCAAAGCTTGTACTATCATAAGTTAACTCTTAAACATTAGAAGAGCCTGATATAATACCTCAAACATATGGCTTTCAGCATTTCTCTCTTTTAGTACTGGGGATTGAACCCAGGGGTACTTTACCATTGTGCTACATCCCCAGTCCTTTTTACTTTTTATTTTGAGATAGGTCTTGCTAAGTTGCTCTGGCTGGCCCCTAACTTGCAATCTTCCTGCTTCAGCCTCCAGAGTCACTGGGATTACAGATTTGTGACTCTGTACCCAGTTTAGCATCTTTTCACAGGAAATTTCTTCTCTGATGAGAGTTTAACTAACTGCCATGGGGGTGGGGAGATTAGAGAAAATAACATATAAATACTGAGGGGTTTCTACCAATATAAGGTGAGACAAAAATCTGCTTATTGATTGAAATTTTTGGTGCTATGGTGGTAACTCTCTACTTAGGAAACACACGCAGAAATATCAGGCAAGAAAACTGGCAAAGACTAGTATATGAAATGTCTACTTTTCTAGTTCTTAGCAGTTTGGAAAAAGTCAGAAAAGCAAATTTAATGAGGAAACAATATCTAAATCCTATTTTGGACTGCACATAATACACAACAGAAAACACAGTGGGTTGCATGAAAGTTTACACAATTCATTGCCCTCCACAAACAATGCAAGTTAAATATCTTTATCAGTACACAGGTTTGACACAGATATAATTAGATGGTTATGAGAAGAAAAATAAAATCTTCCATGAAGTCTGGACTAATGTGGACTTAATATTTTTTTTCTTTTGGTAATGTCATGTATTTTTTTTAAAAAAATTAAGGGCATTTTTATTTTATAAATAATACCATTTTACATTGTATGCCATTTAAGAGTTTACAGAATGCTTTTAGTACTCTTCTAACTTTAATCTTCACAAGTATCCAGTATGAGATATCCATTTTATAAAAGAAGAAACTAGGCAAGTTTGCCATATAACTAGTAAGTGACATAGAGGGGCTCAAAATCACGCTTCGAAACATTTAAAATTTTCATCACCAATGAGGAGAGATTTTTATTAATTTTTTTGCAAGTGTAAGGCACATATAAACTAAAAATCTTTAGCTCTTGTTTATCCAGGGTCACCAAATTCAAGTCAGGTCTTAGTTATCTATAAATCTTTACTAAGATAAAATTGTCTGGTTGGAGGAAGAAGTAGCACATACTCTATACTTGTTGTGAACAGTTCCTTCCTATAATTTTTATTTGATTCTAAAATTTTCTAAATTTAAAGGTCATAGTTTTAATATTTGCTTCATAAGTAATCTTAAACTATCAATTAGGGTTTTAAACTCTTTCAGAACTAAACTAATTAAGTTTTGTTATAATTTGAAAATGGGAATGAATTCTTCGTAATTCAGGAACAAATTTCCAAATATCCTAATTATTTTTGCATCCAATCTTTTCCAAATGTAGTTTTGTAATTACACAGTAAAATCTGCCAAATAATTACATGATAAAATTTGCCAAGTTAAAAAACTTGGGAGGCCAAAGTAGGAGGATTGTGAGTTCAAAGCTAGTCTCTGCAAATTAGTGAGACCCTGTCTCAAAAAAAAAAAAAAAAAAAAAAGGCTGGAGATATGGCACAAAGGTTGAGCACCCCTGGTACAAAATCACTGGTACCAAAACCAAACAAATAAACAAACAAACAAAACTCTACCTGTAAAGTAAAATGACAAGATTTTAAGTCTAGTCTTTTGCTCAACTGATTTTTTAGAGATAATATTAGTATCATTCCTTAGTAAAAAATGAGATACACTAAGTTATTAAAATATGTCTAAACTTTAGAAATAGTGTCATAAAAAGTCTTCTATAAATCTTAATAGAAATATAAACTAGTAGCAACCTACAAAATTTACAAGAACATATAATAAAGAGGTTTTGATTTTTCTTTTCTTTCATTTAAAAAATATAAAATATGAAATATATAAAAAGATCTCCTTGTATCAAGAAAAAAGTAGGGATAATCTGCTACTTTCAAAAAGAAGTGAAAATCTAACAGTATTTGTTTCAGTATTCTGATAATAAACCTAAGATTGATACTAATCCCATAGGTCCATAAGGCCAGAGTCTAAAATAAGGATGGGCTTATGAGAAATAAGATGAAGAATCTACAATCAAAATAATAAAAACATAGCACTGGTTTTAAAAATCATTAGTAAAGTCATATCCAACATGAAACTATTAATAAGAGTAGAGAAAATTTGATGCCCAGTTAGAGAAAATACGCAAAAATTACCTTCCATGAAAAGAAAATTTGGGGTAATCCAACCTATTTAAAGTAGTTTTGAAAGGCTTTTCCCCCCATGGGGCATAAAAAGACTAAGAAACATCTTAAAAGTAAATATCAGTTATTTAGTAAATAAAGGATAGCACAAATTATGACCATGAAGGCTGAAATAATGGACAAATTCTTGAGTGAAAGAAATGATAACAAAAAATCTTTTTTTTCTATCAACAAAATCTTTTTTTAAGAGATAAGGAGCTACATCACAGTTTTATATTAGAATCACAAAATGGGATAACATTGATATCAAGCACAATTAAAATATCTACTTATTTGGCAAAATGTCTGATTTTCCTCAGAATCCACTGGGAGTTCTAGATGGCACAGATGACCAGGAGAGGGCAGCTCACCACTGCAGCTGTGGGTAAACTCAGAAGATGTGAATCCTTTTCTTTGCTATCAAGAGGATGCTCTACTTATACTTTCCATATTTAACTAATAAGGAAGATACCACCATTAAGATTTTAAAGCCACAGATAAGTTGGATAGTATAAGTCATTATAACAAGTAACTAGTAAGAAACTTTTCTGATATGCCAATTGGAGCTCATAAATAAGATGATGCTAAGTTCCTGCTTCTTTCACATAAACAGAATATACAGAGCTACCAATTATACGTATAATGATTAATAAATTAACTACCTTTTTTTATTCTAATGCACTTTTTGTAAAGAACTACTTTACTTTTGGCAGTTTATTTCAATTTTCAGTTATCCAAACTCCTTATCAAAATAAATTCACACATACATAGTAAATACAAATAACTGCAGTGGAGTGGAAGGACACAACCTCCATGTATAATCAATTTTAATACTGGATTTAACACATCTTTGAGATACATTCCATTTATAATATGTGTGCTGCTAGTATAAATTTAAAGATTTCCACTGTCAACCACAATGATCAAAT